TACAGTTTTGCTAAAAGCATTCTGCTTATTTCTCTTGTCCTGAATACCAGGTTCAAAGTGGAACTAGGGTAGACCAGAAGTGAGGAAATGGTGGATTCTCTGCAGCACAGAGGCAACATCATCACACTAAACCTCCTCCCTGGTAGATGGATGTAGAGCTCTGAAGTCTAGTAAAGAGGCTGAAAAATTGTTGCAGAGACTAAGGATGTGCAGTGATTTCCCCCTTTCCTTTCTAATGTCTTTGCTGCTCAGCCATAGCACAGAGATGTAGGTACCTATAGATTACTGCCCATACTGCCCATATTATAATGACCAAACAATCCATGCTCACAGGAAACTTCACCATCAGAAGTGCACTTAATTAAACAGAAACATGTGCATTTAGTTTGTATGTCTTACCCTTTTCTTAGTAAGACTCCGAGATTAAAGGACTTGGATCATCTATCTTTCTTTCCTTTTCAATCTACCCATGGCTCAGAAGTAGGAACAATACACAAAAACTAAAAAAATGCAGCTTGGTCCATTGGCTATATGTACACATAGGTGTGTGGTCCCATTTCGCTCAGCAGGCAGACTGTCTTGCATCGAGACCTACAGGTTTGGTTCCTTTTTCTGGTTCAGCTGGATCATGAGAGCTGCTGTCACCATATAATCTTATTCACTTGTAGTTACATACGCAATAAAGTGGCTACTTAGGTGGTCTCATGCTTTTTCCACAATGCCTACTTCAATATGACTGGCTTTGCTGACAGGCATGAAGTGTCTTTTGCATGCTAAATACCTGTACCTTTTTATTTTTAAATCTTTTTTTCTCCACACAAGGTACTAACATAAGGCAGACTTCACTGTGTGCTTATGCTGCTACCTACCTCAGTGAATGCTTCTTTAGACACCACAAAGCTTTACAAATAGGTTACATTTCTTTTATTAACTCATTTATCAACAAATATGTTTAAGTGCAAGGAGCCAAGTCCTGTCAAAGCTTCACTCCTGCCTCAAGAAACTACAGAACAAATTAAATTTTCTTCATTCTTGTTAGCTATCTCAGGCAGATTAGTCAGGAAAGGAGAAGAAAGGAGATGGTGGTTTGAGTTCAGTGCAGAACAGAATAATGAAGTTCTCCTGAAAGTATAAAACACAATCTCTGAACTATTAATAATCATCTTTGAGACCTCAAAGAGGATGATCATTCCAGATGACTATGGAAAGGGAAACGTTTCACCTATATATGTACACACATACATATATATATGTGTATATATAAACCAACAAAACAGAGCCCAGGGAGTTATAGAATTAATTTTGATATCCACAAAGATACCAAACAAATTATTAAGCTTATAAGTACCTTGGAGATAATTAAAACAATAACAAATAGCCACCATGGATTTGTCAAAACCAAATCATGCCAAATTAATGCAATTTCCTTCTTTTATGGGGTAACTGGCTTAGGGGATAAAGGAAAGGAGAAAATGTAGCATCTTTTGACCTTTATTAAAACTGGTACACAGTTCTAGCTGACATTGTCTCAATGTAAAAAAGAAAACATCGGTGCAGATAAAATCATTGTAATGAGGAATAGGAATATGTATCCAATTAGGAGAATCCATTTTCAAAAAGTAGTTATCAAACAGGGAAATATTTTGAGATACGTATTGCAAAGATATGACGGGTCCACAGTCAATATTTTCATTAACACCCATGTGTCCAAATAACAAACACACACAAAATTCTGTGGATAAAAGAAGAAAGAAGAAGGAAGGGGCCAGGCACTGACTGATGCAAGCAATGGTCAGAAATCACCATGATGAAATACTTCAAAACCAATTGCAAAAAGTACTCCTACAGGAAAAAAAAAAAAGAAAAAAAAGAAAAAAAAACCCAAACACAAGAAAGCCGCAAAACCAAACTGGAGAATAACTTTCAAATATCGAAGAAAGGCTTGTGGAATTCTGGGGAATTAAAACAAGAATGCAATGTTGCTGCAAAAGAAGAATGACTAATTCTAGGTTGTATTCAGAACTGGAAAATGGAAAACATGGAGGCAATTATTTTGATAAACTTGGCACTGGTGGAGCCTCGGGAAGAATATGGTGTCTAATTTTGGATGTTATATGCATATTTACACGCCCACTAAAAATTAATTTGAAGAGGGGCAAGGATGACTTATAAGCTGCTTAGAAAAATGTAACCAGTGAAAAAGGATTGAAAGAATTGGTTTTTTTCTCTGGAAAAGATAAAGCTGAGAAGTACAACAAAATGTTTTCAGAGTCTTGTTATAGATTGAAGAGTTGTCTCCGAAGAGACATGGAGAAAGGGCAAAATAGAGGAAGGACAAAGATCAATAAACTTAAAAAATATAGCTGCACAATTCTCTAATTCCTTCTCCTAAGCACTGGTGAGGCTACACCTGGAGTACTGTGTCCAATTCTGGACTCTTCAGTACAAGAGAGACATGGACATACTGGAGGGAGTCCAACAAAGGACAGGAGCATCTCTCTTATGAAGAAAGGCTGAGAGAGCTGGGACTGTTCAAGCTGGAGAAGAGAAGGCTCAGGGGGGCCTCATGAATGCAGAGAAATACTTGAAGAATGCAAAGAGGATGGAGCCAGGCTGTTTTCCATGGTGCCCAGTGACAGGGACAGGACCAGAGGCAATGGGCACAAACTGAAACACAGGAGGTTCCCTCTGAACATCAGGAAATACTTTTTTTACTGTGAGAATGACCGAGCACTGACACAGGTTGCCCAGGGAGGTTGTAGAGTCTCCATCCTTGGCAATACTCAAATCCATCCAGACACAGTCCTGGGTGACTGGCTCTAGGCAGCCCTGCCTGAGCAGGGGGTTTTGACCTCCAGAGGTTCCTTCCAAACTCAAACATTCTGTGATTCTGTAATGGTAATGGTACAAGCTATGGAGGTTGTTTTATTCTCCCTCACTGGAGTGAGAAATTAGTGAAATTAGGTTAGAGCTAGACAAGATAAACTTCTGAAATATTGCCCAGTCCCACATCCTATAATTTTATTAAAATTGCAGAAATTATTCTAGAAATTATGCAAATTCTACTAGAAGAATATGGAAGCTATGTGTAAACTATATGTTTATACAACAAAGGCAGTGCTTCAATGGGTGAAATATAAGCCTCTTGTCCTTGGATTTTTTAGGAGAAGAAATAAGTAACCTTTCTTCCTGTTGGTCCAGCATCTTGAAAAAAAAAAACCACAAACAACTCATTTCCATTATGGCTGTTCTGATTCTACAGACTGAAAACCATGTTCTGACAGAGCACAGTAACTGCACTTCCTAAGATTCATGTAAGTGTCTCAGCACAGCCACAAATCCCATGAAAAATGCAGCTATACAGCTTTGGAATTCCTGGGGCAAATTTCCTAAGGAATCCAGCACCTCACGTGCACCCAGTTTAGCAAACTGTTTGAAAACATGACCTCATGATTATTAATACTGTTGCTGCTTGTTGCCCTGTTGAGGACAGGGTTTTGCAGACACATCAGAAGGGCCCACTTAAATGTATTGCCAAATATCACTAGAATAAAAAAGAAGTAGTTTTCCAAAGTAAAAAAGAAGGCATGTAGTAAGTAGAATTCAATGAATTAGACAAAAACATGAGCTACAATAAAGTAATACATAATAGCAATCACAATCTAATTGCTCAGGTGCAAAATATATATGTTCAATAAAATCATATGAATGGAAAAAACTGGAACAGTGCAGCAAGTGTAACTGATGATTAGAAGTTAAATATCAAGATGACAGTAATACATAAGCTACTAAAAACTTCCTCTTGATTAATTATATTTCATTAGAAAGCCATCAAATCAATTCTGTTGAAACTATGAAAGGTAATGCTGTGATAAATAATTTTTGAAAGAAATTCCAATTACCTTGGAAATACATTTACTTTTATTTGCAAGAATTTGGGATCCATAATTTTAACTTCAGTGCTTCAGTTGCCATAACAAC